CACACACTGTATGCACACCATCACCCGTGGGTCGAGGGACATAGTAAGTATCTTTCCGCACACCGTATGCACACCATCACCCCTGCATGGATAGGTATCTGTGATCCAGATTGGCTGCTGGATGGATGAGGTTGCCAGGCCCCCTCTCTAAGGCCCCTCGCGGCTGTGAGCGAGTGCACTGTTGCTGTCCTGTTGAGCTGATTCACTTGCTTGTCTATGTTCTGGTGGGCCTTGTCCTGGGAGTCTGTGGATGTTCGTGTGCACGCAGGAGTAACCTTTCTTTTTCTCATTGGGGAGCTGCTTCCTGAGATTCTTCAGGAAAGGGGTCAGGTACCTTCATCGACGCTGAGTTTGCAGTGAGCTTATGCTGTTGCTTCTTAACCTGTGTGCAGTTTGGAAAAGGCCAATGAATTGGGTGGAAGCTTTGTTCACTATGTATAGTACGTCCTTTCTCACAGAATGTAAGCAAAGGGCTTATTAGGTAGGTAATTAGCAGTTTCATTTAAATATGGAAAAACTGAGGAACACAGAAGCATAGACTGCCAGTTAAAAACAGGAAAGCTAAAAAGCTAAAAAAAAGAAAGAAGCCAGGAAAGCTGTGAACGGACGGTCTTTTTTTTTTTTTTTTTTTTTTGAGACAGAGCCTCAAGCTGTCCCCCTGGGCAGAGTGCCGTGGCATTACAGCTCACAGCAACCTCCAACTCCTGGGCTCAAGTGAGTCTCCTGCCTCCGCCTCCCAAGTAGCTGGGACCACAGGCGCCCGCCACAAGGCCCGGCTATTTTTTTGGTTGCAGCCGTCATTGTTGTTTGGCGGGTCCAGGCTGGGGATTCGAACCCGCCACCTTAGGTGTACGTGGCTGGCGCCTTAGCCGGTTGAGCTATAGGCGCCGAGCCTGAACGGACGGTCTTATTGCTCCAGACTTGTAAGGAAGGTGACATCCTGGAGAGTCAAACCTAACCTAGTGCCGCGGTCTCTCTCAAATGTGACAAAGGAGTTTTAAAGACTCAGAGGCAAGCAGATTTAAGGCTGCTGGTAAGCTCTTTGCAGCAGAGGAAGGCAAGGTCCTAATTTGCCATTAATTCATGAGCTTCACCTCCCTGTCTGATCACCTGCTCACCTAATGAGGTGTGAGTTGGAGCTCACACCTAATTATCTGGGGCTGGTGCCTACTTTTTACTGTGATTCATCTCTGGAAACCACATGATAGAGCAGAGTGGAGCCAAAGGGATTCTATTTTCCTGTTGTACTGTTGAAGCTTGCAATCCCAACTGGAGACTCAACATGAAATTAATTTTTGGCAACAACTGAAAAATTTCATAAAAGCAAAGATATGGGAACCTTAAACCTTGATAGCAATTAAATTAGTAAAATCAATGTTCTATTAAAAACAGGCATCGATGCAGTAAATGGATTGCTAGGACCTCAGTGTAATTTATCTACAGTGTGAATATAATTTTATTGCATAAAAAACTTGATCTCTTGCAAACTGGCATGTCAGTTATTATAAATGTTGCAGTAATAGTTAATTACCATTAATTCTGTTTAGATGTTGTAAAGATTTAGGGGGAGATTATTTGGAAGGGCTCAAATAAACAAAAAGCAGTTAAGGAATACAGTTAAGTGGAGATGGCAAAGTGACTAACAGTGTATATTATATGCTACCTCTGGCATACAAAATGGGAAGGCATTTCACACACAGGTAGGTGTCTTTATATGCACAGAGTATTTATAGACGCATGCAGAGGTGAATGGCTAAGGGGAACTACCTGTGTGAAAAGGGTCAGAAAATCCCTTTGTACCATTTGAAGTTTATATTTTGAATTTATAACCTACTTAAAAATACAGTTTTAGTGAATTTAAAAATAATAGAACCTATTTAAAAACAGAAAATGAATTAAAAATAAAAGGAATAACAGTCAAGGAAAATTTGCAGAGATTTTTCTTTTTTCCAGATAATTCTCTGAAGTAAAAAAAAAGGAACAAAGCCTTTTCAATGACTTCAGATGAGAATATCAAATTAGGACTCATTCTTTAAGAAACAGTAAATGCTTGAGGTGATGGATACCCAGTTGTCCTGATTTATTATTCATTATATGTCTGTACCAAAACATTATATGTATCCTATAAATATGTATATTTATTTTGTATATTTACAATATACAAATATATGTATATTTATTTTATTATGTATTATGTATACATAATAATTTGAAATAAAAAGTTAAAAATAGTCATCGGAGGGGCACCCGCAGCTCAGTGGATAGGGCGCCAGCCACCTACACTGAGGCTGGTGGGTTTGAACCCGGCCAGGGGCCAGCTAAAACAACAATGACAACTGCAACAACAACAACAAAAAATAGCCGGTGTTGTGATGGGCACCTGTAGTCTCATCTATGTGGGAGGCTGAGGCAAGAGAATTGCTTGAGCCTAAGAGTTTGAGGTTGCTGTGAGCTGTGAAGCCACAGCTCTCTACACAGGGTGACAGCTTGAGACTCTATCTAAAAAAAAAAAAAAGTCATTGGAATCAAGTAAATAGGAAAAAAATCAATCTCACCAGTAATAAAATATTTAAAACGTCATACCATTTTCATCATTAATGCAGTAAAGGCTTTTAGAAAGAAAGAAATTTGACAGGGTTTAAAAAATGTTGAGACTCTTGGCAGGTTTGTGTAGAAAGTAAAGACTGGTATTTCCTTTCCAGAAAGCAACTGGTCGTAAGTAATGGCCTTTAAAATGCTTTTACCCCTTGACAGAGTAGTTGTACTGCTAGGAATCTGCTTAAGGAAGTAATAGAGATGTGGTTAGAGATTTATTGACAAAAAAAAGATGCTCAGGTCCGTGCCTGTTGCTCAGTGGTTAGGGTACTGGCCACATAAGCCAAGGCTGGCAGGTTCCAACCTGGCCCGGGCCTGCTAAACAACAATGACAACTACAACAACAAAAAAATAACTATGTATTGTAGCCGGCGCTGAGGCAAGAGAATGGCTTAAGCCCCAGAGTTTGAAGTTGCTGTGAGCTGTGACACCACAGCACTCTACTGAGGGGGACATAGTGGGACTCTGTCTCAAAAAAAATGCTTATTACACTATTGTTTTAAAAGCTTGACATCAGAAGCTTCATAAGTGACCAGGAGTAGGAAAATGGCTACCCACATTTGTACCGTGAAGTATTATTTATGCATAAAAATGTTTTAGAAAAAATAACTAACATGAGACAATATTCTTGTCCCATAAAAAGCAGCATATAATCCTCAATATGTGTGACAATTCTACTTATGGAAAAATACTTCTATATATACATAAAAGAAGAGTTAGAAATACATAAAAGTATTGGCTGTGGGTATTTCAGTCTCTGGCAACCTTTAATTAATACTTTAGAGTTACATATTTTTCAAATTTCTACAGCAAATAGGCATTACGGTAGTTTTATTTCAAAGTAAAAAATTTCCATGGTAGATCTAAGTATTTGAAGCTTTATTCTAAAATTAACTCTGTCAGTAGTAGAGGATTCTGGGATCAGGTCCCCAAGTTCGTGGAAACGATGTTCTTTTTGAACTGGAGAGGAATAGGCAGTCCCGTGGCATTGTCCTGGGAGCTGGGAGAGGAACGTGCTGAGCCTCAGGGCGTTCAGGAGCTGGTGCAGCCACTCTCTCCACTCTTCCTTCCTTCCAGTTCTTGCAGAGCGCAGCGAACTGCAGATGCCCTCGCTGATTCAGGGGGTTCGGAAATGCAGTATTATCTATAGAAAGCTGTCTTACTGATCTTTCCAAGATGGGGGGACCTGGCAGTGCTGTTTCAGAGCGACCTCCTGGGAATTGGGAGGGAGGTTGTATGGCCTCAGCGCGGGCTACCCTGGGTGACCCCGTGGCCAGGCAGAACGCACAGCTCCCGACCCTCGCAGGCTCTTGGGTGACCGGCTGCAGACCCGCTACGGCAGAGCCCGCCAGGACCACCTCGGTCACACCCTCTCTGGGGCTGGGTGGCCGGGAAAGTTGAAGTACCTATTGCAGGACAAGGGGCAGAAATTCCTTTAGGAAGCCCCTTGCAGGAAATGTTCCAGAAGCCACGCTGTTTTCTCATGTCCTTTATCTGATTGGTTAAATGTACCGGACTATGGATTGATTTCAGCATTCATTGCTACTTGGATGCCTCCTTCCTTCCCCGTCCTTCCTGAGGAATGGCCTGGGCTGAGGTCTACCAGATCGATGGCGTGCGCAGAGTGCGTTAATAAGGTTCGAGTTGTCGCTTTTGTGCGTTCGTTTTCCAGCTGAGAACTGGCTGTGTGACCTGGATCGAGTCACCTTAACCTTGCCAGACCTTCGTTTTCTCACCTGCCCGGAGACTGGACGGTGCACCCGAGGTGCATCTGGCTCTGGACGCTACAACGCGGCGGGCCTACACCCTTGGCTGCCCGATCTGATTCTCCTTTTCCCCCAGGAGCCGCGTCGGCCGCCGGCCTCCTGCACCTGCGCACGTGGGCTGCCGCCGCGTCCGGCTTGGTGCTCGCGGTCTTCACCGCGTCCCTGTGGCCTCACGCGCTGGGACAGCTCATCAGCTCGGGGACAAGCCCTGGGAAAGCCATGACCACCGCCATGATATTTTATTGCCTAGAAATATTTTTCTGTGCATGGTGCACGGCTTTTAAGTTTGTCCCGGGAGGCGTCTACGCTCGAGAAAGATCCGATGTGCTTTTGGGTGAGTACATTTCAAAGGTCTGGATTCGAGTAACTGCTTAAAAATATCCCTGAGGACTGGCCAGGCTTTAGCACTTTATAGAACTGGTGGAATTGCATAGAGGTCTTGCCTCCTTAGGAAAATTAATGCACTTAATTTTTAAAAATAGGACTCTGGAGTATAGACATACCCTTATCTGACAACGTGAATGTTACTTTCTTTGCATTATTATTATTATTGCTTAATATTTCGATGCCGCAATTGTCTGATTTCTTTTCTGAATGTATCTATGTTCGTTCCTTCCTTACGAGGTTTTTGTTTCTAGTCCTTATCTTAAACATTGTTATTGTTATTAAATTTTAAGCCTTTTTAATTTTGTGAAGTCAAAAAATGGAAACCTAATAAACACACGTATATGTAGAAAATATTTAAAAATAGGACACTGGAAAGATGTTTTAAATTATAAGATAAAAAATAAATTTCTTAATTCATCAAGGCATTTCAGTTATATTTATTTCTACAAAGTCCTTTTAAGTGAATTTTTTGTGGAGAAAGTTTCATCTCTGATAAAGTATACGCTGTGTAGCACTGCATTATATCATCTGTTTGGAAAAGTCAGGAACATGATGCTTGTGTTACCACTTGAATGGCGGGCTCATAAACACACGCAGGGATTGTCATTTTGGGGGGTTCCCTTGAGTTTTATCTGTGATTTTTATTTACCGTGTTTTTACCAAATGTATTATATATGTGTATATATATATATCTTACGGTAAATGATAAATTCTCAAATCATAGAATAAATATGCTTTTCTACTTAAGTGGTTATGAACTCACATACTAAAATTAAATTTTCATGAACTTAGCTTAGTTTAATATTTATTTATTTAGTTAGTTAGTTATACAGGGTCTTATTTTGTTGCCCTTGGTAGAGTGCTGTAACATCACAGCTCACAGCAACTTTGAACTCTTGGGCTCAAGCGATCCTCTTGCCTCAGCCTCCCGAGTAGCTGGGACTACAGGCATCAGCCACAATGCCTGGCTGGTTTTAGAGACAGGGTCTTGCCTGGCTGGTTTTAGAGGCAGGGTTCACTTTAGCTCAGGCTGGTCTTTAACTCATGAGCTCAGGCAATCCACTGACCTAGGCCTCCCAGAGTGCTAGGATTATAGGCACGAACTACAGTGCTGGCTACTTTAATATTTTAAAAGTTGTCTTCTTGGTAGTAATGAAATTATTGATGAATAGCAGGCAGGCACGAATCACCTGTTGTTTATCACTTTAGTTTAAGTGAAATACATCAAATACTTCAGCCGAAAAAGCATCTTTGGAAGATGGATAGACAAAGCGTGTTAATAAGCGTTCTAGTTGTTGCTTTTTTGTGTATTTATTTTTCCATTTGTTCATTTCTTCCATTAAAAAATTATCACACACCGACAATGGTCCAGGAACAGTGTCCAAATGCTGTCGAATATCGACAATTCCTAGTGTCCCTGCCTACCCGGAACTTTGGTCACATGGAGGAAATGTCATGTGTGACGTGACACAGATATTTGTGAAGTTCATTTGGGTGTGTGCTGAGCAGGAGAGGTGCCGGCTCCACTTGGGGACCGTCACAGTTCCCTTGGTGCCCCTGATACGCAGATCATGACTCTGTACATTTTCACATAAACTTTTCTATCCTATGAGCTAGACGTCTGTCGGGATAGGCTGGTTTGGAAGATGTATTTTTAAGTTATGTGAAATATTTGCAACCAGCTTTTGGGAGATTTATATTTTTGGTACATGCCCAAGCTCTCATCTAGTTAGAGAGATACGTTGCTGCATTTCTACGGCAATAACCTTGGCTTTCCAAACTTAGTATTTCTTTTGGTTTCTTTCAGGTGTGTGTACTCTCTCCTGCTCTGTTCTCCTGCCCAATGTCCTGCTTTTTTCTTATTCCAGCTTGGTTAGGGGTCTGTCACGAGAAGAAGGCACAAGAAAATAAGAATCAGTCTGCAGAAACAAGTTTGTTTGTTAGTAGAATGTTATGCATGAGGCGCTTTAAAGTCTTTTCTCTCTACTTGTGGGACCATAGAAAAAGCCCTCTCAGCTTCAGACAACTAAGAACATTTTTTCCAGTATGAATGATATTATTTTGATGAACCCACAAAAGCTAAAGGATGTCATGTTGGTAATATTCAGAGTAGCTTTTAATACCGTGTTTCTCCCCAAATAAGACACTGTCTTATATTTATTTTTTTCTCAAGAAGACACACTAGAGCTTATTTTCAGGGGATGTCTTATTTTTATTAAGTATAATACAACAATCTACATTTATTCAAATACAGATAAGTCATCTTCTTCTGGAACCTGACAGGGGAAACCCATCTTGTTGGTGGGGCTGGCACAAGTGATGCTTGAACTCCTTTCCCCTAGCCGTTGGCACGTGTGCAATAGTGTGCCTGCGACCATGGTTACCACACCTGCACCCGCACACCAGCACAAGTGCGAAGGGCTCGGAGAAAGGAGCTTGGCAGATAAACGGTATTCCAGTCTTCCTTATCGCTCCGTGCCGGAATGCAGGTCACTAGGTCTTATTATCCGGGTAGGGCTTATATTTAACAAATGCATAGAAATTTTCCTAGGGCTTATTTTTTGGGCAAGTCTTATTTGGGGGGAAACACGGTACAACTGAATTGAGAAGAGTCTGTGTTATATCAGAAATTAACTATAAATGTGTTTTCTACATTTCTCCTGCTATTTCCTGAAAATTGACATTTTTCTCTTTTGCTAACCTTCCACCCAAGCTTAACTTTTACTTGATGCTTCTGTTTTTGTTTTTTTGGTTTGTTTGTTTTGAGACAAAGTCGCACTCAGTCGCCCTGGGTAGAGTGCTGTGGTGTCATATCTCACAGCAACCTCAAACTCTTGGGCACAAGAGATCCTCTGGGCTCAGCTTCTTGAGTAGCTGGGACTACAGGTGCCCGCCTCAACACCCGGCTAACTTTTCTATTTTTAGTAGAGATGGGGTCTTGCTCTTGCTCAGGTTGGTCTTGAACTCCTGAGCTCAAGCAGCCCATCCTCCTCAGCCTCCCAGAGTGCTGGGATTATAGGCGTGAGTCACCATGCCCAGCCCAACTTGACATTTCTTAATTGACATGTTGTGTCCAATCTCTCTTTCCATTCTTATCATGTATGATTTTAGAAGCATGCAAATTTTACATGTAAGTTAGTTTGGAGTGCTCAGCTTTCCTGGCCAGCCTGTTAGCAGGCTATTGAGTAGTTCTGGCATATACCCCTGCAAGGACCCTGTGCCGGGAGAGCCCACATTCCAGGGCAGAGTTGCTCCCACAAGCACTGCCATGTTAAGACCTACACACGTTCCACTGTGCTCCTTGACTCGGTTCCAGGCTGGGCTCTTTTTGTGTCCCTATGGCAGCTCATAAGGCTCCCACTGTCCCCTGCCCGATCAACAGTCAGTCATGAAAACCATTAGCAACCTGATAACTGGGAAATAGTCAGAACATTCAAGGAAATCCCTCGTCAGGAAAAGGCTGGAGTCCTCTCATTTAAAGTTTATTTCCTAGAACCTTACCTGATTTCTTAGGATCACCCCTGTTATTGAAAGCTCTACCAGAGTAATTGCTTAGGAACGGAGATACGTTAAATAAATTCAGCAGCTGAATTTTCAGAGTGTGCTCCGTAAGAGGAAATCTTAGCCCCTGAAATTTACCATTGGCAGGATTTGGGATGAAGCTTTAACATATTCTTTCTTCTTTTTTAACAGGGACAATTATGCTAATTATTGGATTGAATATGCTATTTGGTTCAAAGAAAAAGCTTGACTTTCTTCTTCAAACAAAAAATAGTCCAAAAGCACTTTTCAGAAACAGTGACAAATACATGAAACTTTGTAAGTAAAGTTTTCTTTTCTTTTAAAAAATATTTATTAGAGCAGCACCTATGGCTCAAAGGAGTAGGGTGCTGACCCCATATGCCAGAGGTGGTGGGTTCAAACCCAGCCCGGCCCAAAACTGCAAAATATATATATATATATATATTTATTTATTTATTATGTAAAATTTCAAACACATGAAATTAGAGAGAATAATGAACCCTCATGTACTCTTTACCCAGTTTCAACAATTATCAGCATTTTGTCAATGTTGTTAACAGCTATCTATTTGTCTATTTATTTATTTAGTTATTTTGAGACAGAGTCTTACTATGTCACCCTCAGTAGAGTGCTGTGGCGTCACAGCTGACAGCAACCTCAAACTCTTGGCTTAGGTGATTCTCTTGCCTCAGCCTCCCAACTAGCTGGGACTACAGGCACCTGCCACAGCACCTAGCTTTGTTGTTGTTGTTGTTGTCATTGTTGATTTTAGCAGGCCCAGGCCGGGTTCGAACCCGCCATCCCAGGTGTGTGTGGCTGGCACTGTAAGCACTGAGCTACAGGCACCGCCATTTTTAAGTACTTTAAAGCAAAATCTTGATAGCATGTCATTTCAACCATAAACATTCTGTATTAGTTTTATTTCATTTCTAACATAAATAAGATGATTCGGTTGTCAGGATTTCCAAAATGTTTTGATCTAACAGTTGAGACAGTTTGCTCCACTTCTTGTTCTCCTTTTTTTGAAGACTAAATATGTTAATGTTTGGAACGTTGATTAACTAGACACTCAAACATAAAATTCATATATTATTTAATATCTGACTCATTTAATATGAACTGGACTAAATAAAAAGCTATTGAATGTATGCAGTATGCCCATAACATATTAGGTATTTGTATGTAGGATACAAAGGTAGGAATACAATGGTCTCCGCCCTCAAGGACCTGAACTTTACTAAAGGAGACAAAATATTACAGTGTAAAGAGATAGAAACAGCTAAGAGGCCAGGCATGAGGCCTCACGCCTGTAATCCAGCACTCTGGGAGGCCACGGCAGGTGGATCACCTGAGCTCATGAGTTAGAGACCAGCTTGAGCAAGAGCCAGCCCCCCATCTTTAAAAATAGCCAGGCATTGTGGGGGGCACCTGTAGTCCCACCTACTTGGGAGGCTGAGGCAAGAGAATTGCATGAGCCCAAGAGTCTGAGGTTGCTGTGAGCTATGACACCAGAGCATTCTACTGAGGGCAACAAAGTGAGACTCTGCTCAGAAGCTATATAAATTTTCTTTTCTTTCTTTCTTTCTTTTTTTTTTTAGAGACAGTCTCACTTTGTCGCCCTCAGTAGAGTGCCATGGCATCACAGCTCACAGCAATCTCCAACGCCTAAACAATTCTCTTGCCTCAGCCTCCCCAATAGCTGGGACTATAGGCACCCGCTATAATGCCCAGCTATTTTTTTGTTACAGTTTGGCTGGGGCTAGGTTTGAACCCGCCACAACTGGTATATGGGGCTGGCGCTCTACCCACTGAGCCACAGGTGCTGCCCCAGAAGCTATATAAATTTTCAATGTGTTTCTAAAAGAAATGTCACAAAGCAGTAGGACCATTATATAAAACTCTGCATACCAAAAAGATCATATTTAAGTTTAAGGGAAATGAGGTTTTTCTTTGTGTGTTCTTATGTTTTAGTATGTCCTTTGAAATCAAAATCTAGCAGTTTTATTTGTTTTTAATCCTGACAATCTTTGTCTTTTGATTCGTCGAATTGAGGCATTTGAAACAGTTTATTTACAGAGGTGTTTAAAAATTTTTGTGTGATTTTAGAGGTTTATATTTTAGAAGTTTTAAGTTCACAGCAAAATTGAGTGGATGATACAGAGATTTCCCAGGTACCCCCCTACTCTGCATCTATACAGCCACCCCCATCAGTATCACTCGCCAAGTGATACATTTCTTATAATTGAACTCACATTGGCACATCACAGGCACCCAAAGTCCAGTGTTTACTTCAGGGGTCCCTCTTGGTATTGTACATTTTATGAATTTTGACAAACGTGTGATGCCACCTGCCCATCACTGCAGTATCATTAGGAATAATTTCTCTGCCCTAAACATCCCTTGTAACTAAACTAAATATCCACCAGTTACTCTTCCCTTTCTCATCCAACCCCTGGCCACCACAGGCTTTCCACTGTTTCCATTGTTTTGCTTTTCCAGAATGTCAATATTTATATATTTTTTAAAGAGATAGGGTCTTACTCTGTCACCTAGCCTGGAATTCAGTGGCACAATCACAGCTCGCTGTAAATGCAAACTTCTGATCGTCAGCTCAAATGATCCTCCTGGCTCAGTTTTCTGAGGAGCCAGGACTATAGGTGCACACCACCATGCCTGGCTAATTTTTAATTTTTTCCAGAGACAAGATCTCACTACGTTGCTCAGGCTAGTCTCAAACTCTGTCTCAAGAGATTCCCCCCCACCTCAGCCTTTCAAAGCACGGGGCTTACAGGCATGAGCCACTGTGCCCACCCACTCATTCTGGCTTTTAACTAGCGAGTTCAATCTATTTCCAATAGTGATTTTTGATATATTTGATTTTTTACTATCATCTTAATGTTCCTTTTCATTTTCTACTTTTTCTAGGCATATGTATTTTTCTTTGTCTTCTTGATTTCTTTTGCATTGATTAGATTTTCTTTTCCTTTTTTTTTTTTTTAATACCCCTCTTACCTTCTTTTAGTTAGGAGATTACACCTGTGATTTTTTTTTCTTTTAGTAGTAGGTTACATATCTCTCAGCGCACTGAAGATGCTACTCCCCTGGCTTCTGGTTGTCATTTTTGCTATTGAGAAGTCAGCTGTCAGTGTAACTGTTGCTCCTTTGAAGATAATCTGTCTCTCTGGCAGCTCTTAAGATTTCTCTCTTTGTCTTGGTGTTTCAGAGTTTCACTATGATATACGTGAATGTGGATTTTTTCCCTCATCTTGCTTTGGAGTCTTTGGGCTTTATGATTTGAAGAATCTTGTTTTTCATCAGTTCTCAAAAATGCTTAGTATTATTTCTGCAGATATTGCCTCTTTTCCCCATCTTTCTCTTTGCTCCTTTTAGACTCCAATTAGATGTATGTTGGACCTTCTCATTCTGTTCTCCATGTCTCTTAACTCCTTTCATGTTTTCTGCTTCTGTTTTCTTTTTTTTGCAGTTTTTGGGCTGGGTTTGAACCCACCACCTCCAGCATATGGGGCCAGTGCCCTATTCCTTTGAGCCACAGGCGCTGCCCTCTGCTTCTGTTTTTTGTACTACCCTAGTGCTAATTCCCTATTCAGCTTTGTCTGATTTCCTCGTCCACTGAGTTTCTAATTTCAATTATTAAAACAATTATTTTTATTTCTAGAAGTCTCTTTGGCTTCTTTATAAAGTTTTTGATCCTTTATTTTAGTGTCACATTCCTTAGTCGTCCTTTTCAATATCCTCTTTGATTTTCTAAATATGTTAAGCGTGCTTATTTTATCTCCTCATTCCAAACGTTCCGTTGTCTGCTGTCTCTGTGGGCTCGATTCTGCCGGGTATTTTTCCTGCTGGTTCCAGCTCATGAGGCTTTTTTTCTGGTATATTTATATGATTTATTTTTACTTTAAGCTCATGACCTTGGAACATTTTTAGGGAAGATTCTTTGAAGCCTGTGTTAGAGTGTGGGTTATATGTGCATGTCACACATGAAGATTAACCCAAGACTTAGACATTTCACATTTGCACTAAAATGCGCGGCCAAAAGATGGAATAACTTAACAAAGATTATTATTATAAAAACAAATTTCATTTTTAAAAAACAATTATTTCTTCTCTTTGTTTAGTTTTGTGGCTGCTTGTTGGTGTGGGGTTGTTGGGATTAGGACTGCGGCATAAAACCTACCAGAAGAAATTGGGCAAAGGGGTAAGTAATTAAAAATGTTGAAATAGAATTTTATGTGTGATACACACACATTTGTAAACTTCACCATTCTGGTTGGATTCTAGACCTGGATCTGATGGCTTTAGTGTCCTGGATTCTAGCTCCTGAATCCTTAGGCACAGGCTGATCATATAGTGGAATTATTTTGTGAAGTTGGGTTTTTGAGAGAGGCTAGACCAATGTGTTAGAGGCAAACAGTCCATACTTTTGTTGTATGGAGTTATTTTTGGCTTTCTTGACCTAACATTTCTAAACTATAAAATAAGGACTAGTTTTATCTTGTTTTAGAATTTTAAGTTGAATTTTATATAAAGGTGGGCATATTTGGATAGAATTGATAGTGCCACACCACAAACGAAGTACCAAAATACATCACATACTCATATTTCTATTAATAATTCTTACATTATGCTCAATTCTCCTTATGTATGTTTATAACTTAATTGAATTATTTTCATTGTTTTTATTTTATAAAGTTTGTACAGCCCTGTTATTGATAGCTTTCCCTTTGGGACTATCTCTGATCTCTGTTTAGAAAGACATAAATCACATATGGTAACTTAAGGAGAACCAGTGAGGGGCTGCTTTATGATGGGCTTCTCTGCACTTCATGACAGGTACTGCTGAAGACAGCAATGTGAGACTCCTGGGGTTAAGACAGATCTTACAGACAGGTCATTATTTGGCAGATCATAGGCAGTCTGTGTAGTGGTGGGTGGTGGAAGTTCCCTTGCCTCT